CTTGAAATTCCCGGGGCTACCAGCGGCGAGAAAGCAGACCTGTTGGCGGATAGGATGAAAGATCTCTATCAGGACTGCATCAGTGTATCTAGACCTACTAAAACTGCGGATCTCCGCATTGTAGGTATAGATGACTCGGTGGATAGGGAGGAAGTAGCAGAAGCCATCTCTAAGACGGGAGGTTGCCCTTTGTCCCAGGTCAAAGTAGGCAAAATAAGTTATGGCAAAAACGGCTTAGGAGTCGTCGTCATCAAATGTCCGGTGGCAGCGGCAAAGGCGATAAAATCAAAAGGCAAGTTGCTAGTAGGGTGGACTTCTGCGTCTGTACAGCATCTGGCCCCCCTACCCATGCGTTGCTTCAAATGCATGGGTACGGGACATACCAGAAAGCTCTGCCCCAGCTCAGTAGACCTCAACGGGGTTTGCTATCGGTGCGGAGAGGTCGGCCACAAAGCTGCCGAGTGCGATAAGACCGCGTCATGCCTGGTATGCTCAAAGGCTGGTCTTAAATCGGACCATATAATGGGGAGCGGCAGGTGCAAACCCCCAACTGTTGCTAAGACAAAGGCCTCTAAGACCCAGGTCAACAAAGCAACAGTGATGGAAATTGCCACTGTCCCGGAGGAGGATGATATGTCTACTTAATGTTCCGTAGACCTATCAGCTTCCTCCAAGGTAATATCAACCATGCAGCAGGAGCCCAGGATCTCCTGCTGCAAATGGTTAAAGAATGGATGGTGGATATTGCGGTATTTGCCGAACCCTATTTTGTCCCTGATAGGGATAACTGGGTGAGTGATGCGAATAATAGTGTCGCCATATTAATTCCGCGCACTCAACACTATTCTCCACCCATACTTGTCAGGGAAAAGGGACCCGGTATTGCTGTGGCGGACTGGGGGGAATTCAGGCTCATTGCCGTTTATTTTTCCCCTAATAGAACCGCCGCACAATATGAGGTATGGATAGATGAGGTGGCTAGGGTGGTACGTCGCCATGAGACGACTAAAATGATTATCTTGGGGGACTTTAACGCGAAACACACTGCGTGGGGTTCCCCCAGGAATACCGTTAAGGGAGAGCTCGTGGTTGAATGGGCTGGAGCTCATGGTGTAGAAATCATGAATCGCGGGAACGTGTACACCTGTGTCAGGGCTGGGGGCGGGTCAATAGTGGACCTTACGTTCGCTACCCCAGCACTGGCTCCACGTTTCCGTGACTGGAGGGTAATCGTGGATAGGTTTTCCATGTCAGACCACCGTTACATAAGATTCTGGCTCACCCCAGAATCTGGCATGGACTTACCTTCTCCATTCCAACTACGTGAACCCCACTTTCCAAGGTGGTCGATCACCAAGTTCGACAGAGAGATCGCAGATGAAGCTGCCGCTGTTCAGGCTTGGGCCATCCCTCGTGAAATCTGTCCAAATACTGACGATGCAGCCGATCAATTGAAGCATGCCCTTACGGAAGTGTGCAATGCGTCGATGCCCAGGGTGAGGGAGGTGCCACCTAAAAAACACGTATATTGGTGGTCCGACGAGTTGAGCACTCTCCGCAACAACTCGTATCGAGCTAGGAGGGCCTTGCTCAGATATCGCAGGAGACGCCATAGAGCTCAGGGCGAAGAGGAACGACTGCGGACTGCATACAATGCTGCAAAAAAGTCGTTAAAAGCAGCGATATGCAAGGCCAAATCAGACGCTTGGGCCGAGTTCCTTGCAGAACTTGACAGGGATCCGTGGGGTAGGCCCTATAAAATGATCCGAAATAAATTTCGGAATCAAGCGCCACCCACGGAAACCATGGACCCGGATTTGCTGGACAGGGTAATCAACACCCTCTTTCCACCGACAACTCCGAATCTGTCTCCACGAATGTTCTTTCCCGAGGCTGCAGAACAGGACCACGAATTCCCTCCTGTCGAGGAGGACGAATTTAAAGACGCCATAGACAGGCTAAAATACAAAAAGAAGGCCCCGGGCCCCGACGGTGTTCCAGGCCGTATTATTCCCCTGGCTATGGAACACCTTGGGGAGTATACCAGGATTCTGTATAATGCCTGCCTAGATAGGGGCGTATTTCCCAAATCTTGGAAAATTGGGAAATTGTGTCTATTGGCTAAGGAGGGCAAACCACCAAATTCCCCGGCGGCATATCGCCCCATTGTGCTGCTCGATGAGGTTGGTAAGGTCTTCGAAAAGATCATCGCCGATCGCATCACGCAGCACATGGACACAGTGGGCCCCAACCTGTCTCCTAACCAGTACGGCTTCCGAAGAGCTTTGGGAACGGTCGACGCGTTGCTCCAACTGAAGAGGCTGACAGAGAGTGCAATCAGTAGGAGAGAGATAGTTATAGCAATATCATTAGACATAGCTAATGCCTTTAATTCTCTCCCCTACTGCTGTATCAGGGACGCCTTAAAGTACCACGGTCTTCCCAGGTACCTCAAAGACGTTATTGAGCACTATCTTGAAGACAGATATGTGCAATACATCAATCATGAGGGCCGTTTGGTGTCTCGCAAGATGGTGAGAGGTGTTCCACAGGGGTCTGTCCTCGGACCGCTCCTGTGGAACATTGGATATGACTGGGCTATCCGCGGAGCACTGTTGCCACGCATGAACGTCATATGCTATGCCGACGACACACTGATCGTCGTACGTGGCAACGACTTTTCCTCTGCGAATAGCCTAGCAAGAATTGGAGCTGGTTTAGTAATTGATAGGATCCGGAAACTTGGACTCGAAGTGGCAACCACAAAAACGGATGTAATCGCCTTCCACGGCCCTAGGCGCGGACCACCCGCTAATTCGAACATCATAATCGATGGAGTCACAATCCCATTCAAACCTAGCATTAAGTACTTGGGACTGTACTTGGACAGTCGCTGGAATTTCCATGACCACTTCCAACGACTGGCTCCAAGACTTGAGAAAGCTGCGTCGGCATTGGGTAGAATGCTTCCCAATGTGGGAGGCCCAGGGATTCGTTGTCGAAAGCTATTCGCTGGGGTAATCAGGTGCATGGCGCTGTATGGTGCTCCCGTCTGGATAGACAAATTAGACAGCACCAACAGGATATTACTGCGTGAGGACCTCAGCGAATAATTGCTAACAGGTCAATACGGGGATATCGAACGATTTCATTCGCGGCGGCATGTGCTCTCGCTGGCACTCCTCCATGGGAGTTGGATGCTCGCATCCTCGCGGATATCCACTCCACACGTGAAGAAGCGAGAAACAGGGGTGAGCGACCTACCCCAGAGAGCCTCCTCCAGGCCAGAAGGGATGCAGAGGAGTGGCGCTTGTCCAAATGGCTGAACCAAATAGATAGCGCCCAGTTCGGCACCCGAACCCTAGAAGCCATTCGCCCAGTTCTAGAGAACTGGTGTGACAGAAGACACGGGGGATTGACCTTCCGTCTGGTGCAGATACTGACCGGGCACGGATGCTTCGGTCACTATCTGCACCGGATCAGAAGAGAGGCGGCTCCCATCTGCCACGAGTGCGGCGCTGCCGACGACACGGCACAGCACACTCTCGCGAGATGCAGTGCATGGCAACAGCAGCGCAGCACCCTTGTGTCGATAATTGGCTATGACCTATCCCTACCCAGCGTAATACGCGCCATGCTGGACAATGATAGAGCCTGGAGGGCTGTTGCCTCCTTCTGTGAGGAGGTGATGACGCAGAAGGAGGCAGCGGAAAGAGCACGCGAGGATGCGCGTGGAAATCCACGCCGCCGCAGGGGGGGACGGAGGAGTAGGCGCTATGCGCGCCTACTGCCACCGTAATAAGTGACCAGGGACTCGGGGCCCGCGCCCCCTTGGTGTGTATGTGGTGCTCTCTGGGCCGGGGTTGGTTCGCTCCTGCGAGCCCTCCCTTTGGCCCGGTGATCACGCACATGCACACCCTCACACTCACATTCACAACACTCACACACACATACAGACTAACATCACTTACACTCAGAGTGCTGCTGATGATCGCCCCTCCGGGGCCGTGAGACACCCCCTCGGGGGTGGCGTGGCTCCGGGGGGGCGGTCATCGGATCACTCATCACACACACATACATCACACTTACGGACACACTCGCATACACTCACACACTAGCAGTCACACACATACATCTTCACTCATACACTAAACACTAACCACAACTACATATTACATAAATACTTACCCTATTACACTTACCTTTCCCCTCCCCCGTCCTGTCAGCGTTGCTTCCATCCCTCTCCTTAGAGAGGGTACCGGATGCGGTGCTGGTGGGCCGGGGGGGGGGGACGCGGGCTTCTTGTTCCTGGTGGGCAGCCAAATTCCTGTGCCTCGGATCTTTCCGTGCGGACCGGACGACGGGTCTCTGGTGGCGGGAGCATGACAGTGTTCCCGTACTCGAGGTCTTGAATCCGCGAAGGTTACCTTCTCGCCTTGCAACCCTGTTGGTCACGATCGGCAGGGAGGCTCGGAGAGCTGGTAGCGAGGAAAACCGAGGAGTCGGCCGGCGTACGCTGGTGAGGGAATTTTCCATCTTGCTCTCTGGTAGTGGGGCCGTCGGGGCCGGACTGCCCCACACACCCTTCGGTGTGTGGAGTGACCGGGCCTCGGCGGGGCCACTATCAGAGTGCGACTAAGGAACGGAATACTGGTGACTGGTTCGGTGCACGCTGGGCTGGACATTGGTATCCGGGGCTATCGGGGTGAGGGATTCACGAGGGTTCAGCCCGTGTGAATTCCCTCTCTTAGACGGGCTAGGGTGGGAGATGCTCAATTGCGCATCTCTTGCCTTTGACAGGGGGCAAGTCTGGCGGGTTAGCGCGCTCGCCAGGCATTGCACGCTCCTTGTCCTGTCTGGGGATGGACTCGAATGTTCCTGAGCCCTTCCCTAACCCGAGACGGGACCCGCCCTGTTAAAGGGGTGGGTCGAGCGGGGACGGCATGCGCGGGAAGTGGTCCCGTTGGGGACCGTTACCGCGCGCTGATCCCCCGCAGTGAGGGACATCGCTGAGTTTTAGTGGGTAGGCCCCTGCTCTTTGACCAGCCCCATTCTGGGGTTGGTCCGCAGGGGAGAGTCCCACATAACCCGTGGAGCTCGCGCTGGGTGAAGCGGATATGCGGAATGCATTTCTCAGCGTTAAAAAAAAAAAAAAAAAAAAAAGGTATAATATTAGGTAGCTTTGATTTGATTTTACTTTGTTAAGTAAAATAAAATAAATACTGTTTAATGACAATAAAATAAATCAACTTTTAATTGCAAGTAACAATTTTTTAATTTGTTTTTTCAATATCCATTCTACAATTTAAAATTCATGGAGTTGTCCACTAACTAAAATGAAAAATATGGTACCTATTTTATATGTAACAAAATTAATGTACAATGGAATAGTTTTTAATTTCTTTTGGCGTAGATACGAGTAGTCAAATTTTAAGTGTCTAATATAGATTCAATGCTGTTTTCGAAATGAGACAAATCATTACAATATTAAAATAAATACGTTTATAAGCGAATAATAATGTTACTAAGTCATTATTATAAATAACAATAAGACGTAAGAGCATGGTTATTGTTCAGAATGTGATTTGTTTTAAAATACCTATTATCTTTGCTCAATTTGGTCGTTTGGCTTTTCTGTCTGTTCAATTGTATTCAGAAGAGTTATATTTTTTGTTTCTGGCAATAAGTAGCACAAGGAAGCAGAAACGAAAGCTAATGAACTGAATATTAATATTGAAACCCATTCTATACCAATATTAACGATAAAAGGTGCCACAAACCCACCAACGCGACCAAACGTGGAAGCGAATCCCATCGCAGAATTTCGAACAATTGTAGGAAATACTTCTGAGGTGAATAAATAAACTAAAATGAAAGAAGAGTAAGCTCCTATTTGTCCTATAATCGCAAATGCTAAGATAAGCGATTGTTCATATACAAAAATAAATATAAGAAGTGATGCGCCTGCAATGGAAAAAGTTGCAAAAATTGTGGTTCTTCTTTTGAGGTACAAAGTTCCCGTCACAATTAATACTAAAGCTGGTAATAAACTTGCAGCAGATATCATTACGTTAAGATACACGTTACCTTGCAACTGACCAATATATTGATTCACCCCAAAAAATATGAGAGAGCAAAACATCCATATGAGAGAAGTAATAAACGTATAGAATCTGACTTTTGGTGTTTTAAACAAATCTTGATATGAGCCGGTCTGTTTTTGGTGATCCTTAATTGTATCACATCGTACTTGATCAACAATCGCTTCAATATCTTGTATAGGTCTGTTGTTTCTGAAAGAGAAAATACATTCATATAAGATCTGGAAATTGTTGTGGATTATTTTTTATTAATATTTACTTACTTTTTTGCTATGTGAGTGAGTACATATACTGCTTCCTTAGTTTTGCCTACTGTTATCAACCATCTCGGAGATTCTGGTATTAACCAATAAATAACTATTACAAGAAGCCACGGGACTGATAGTGCCAATTGAAGATCACGCCATTCTCTAAGGAAATAAGCTATGATGGGTAGTATGAAATAACCAGTAACGTAGGATAATTCATGTAATCCAATTAGGTATGGTCTAAATGATTTCCCGCTTAATTCGATGAGAAAGACGTAACAACAGAGCATTGTTCCTCCAAGGGCTGTACCTATCAAGATCCGGAAAATAAGGAACATCCAATATCCAGTAGCAAAAGCGGAGATCATCGTAAATAATGCCTCACAGAATAGTGCGAGAACAATTGCGATTCTTCTTCCATATCTGTAAAAACAATTGAGTGTGCAACAAAAAGGAAAATGTCTAATTAAATAGGTGATAAGAAATGTTTGATACAAAATATAATTTTATATAAATATGGATATATTTATTCTAATAATCTAATAATTATTAATACACATTTCCAAGGTGAGTACATAAATATTACTTTGTTTATAATGTTATCATTATTTTATTATATTGAAAATTTTAGACGGAGGAGATTGATATTTGCCCGTTGGATTTAATAGGAGTAAAATTAAATGAGCATATTTTATCCATTCGAACATTATACGTAACCGAGACGAGGTTTTTAATTTTCACTTCTTTTTTATTCCATTTTTATTTCGACTAGTTAATTTACGGGCGTTTGATATAATTTCATTATAAATTACAACAAATCTGTATGCTTAGAGATCTATGATTAAGATAAAATTGTTACCTGTCAGAAATGAAACCATAAAATAGGCTTCCAGTTAATATACCAACTTGCAGCATCGATTGTGTCAGGCTCGCCAAATATTTCTTGTCACATATCAGATCCCACTCACTTATTAAAGACTCTACGATTGTGGATCGGTCGTATTCAGGTTGGGTACATGGACAATGATTAGTGGCATTCTGAATTCCTTCATCGAGACAAATGAAATCAGTGTTCGGGAGTAGAAAAACTACGTTTGTTAGCTGAAATTCTGTAGGTAAGCGACCGATCGAAATTAATACTAAAATCCATGTTTGGTATTTCCCAAAACGGCCAATAACATTTTCAATTGCATCATCACTTGTCATCTTGTCATACTTTGGAAGTTATTATATAAATAACTATTTACTGCGAAGTTAAATTGAAATTGATAGAGTAAGTAGATCACAGTATTTTTTTTATCACACATCTAATACACATACACACGCAACGAGTAACGCCTTACTGATACTATTCGATTTTGTCCTTGCCGCGTGCAGTACGGCGGCATATTTGTTACCTAATATTTAATTTGTTAGGTGTTGCGTACACTTAGAAAATTATCTATATTACAGTATCCCTAATTCATTTCTTTCAATTATTTGATTAGCTGATCAAATCAAAGTACATTTCTGTATATAACTTCTAGGTATTAGTAACAACATAATATCAGACACACTACATAAATATTGGTCCACTTTAGAAATATGCAGGTGCGACAAACTGGTTCCATTTCACGTTTCCAAGGTTCTCTTACATAGAATATAAAAAATTGCAAGTAGTGATGATGTCAGTCAGATAATAGATAAATATTAGATTTTTACTCTTATTTAACAAGAAATAGTCCGCAATTGTACATTTGTGCAAGAAGTATCAATATATACATCTGGACCTGAAAAGCATTAGGTCGGATGTATAAAAACTGTATAAAAACAGAAATAGCTAAATGCAATCAAAATATTTGAAAAAGTCGTCTGATCCGACTTTATGCATGACTGTTGCTCATGAGTAAAAAGGCACAAACATACAAGAGTTAATTTGCCGGAAAGAGAAAAAAGAGTGTAGCAACGTTATGGCGATAAGTGATTTTAGCTGGTTCTGCACATCCGACCTAATGCTTTTCAGGTCCAGAAGTAAATAACAGTCAATAAAGTTGAGTAGTGGGTTCTTGCTACGTCACAGTTTTATAAAATAAGTACAAAAGCCTTACGTTATGTGACATCCAAACTTAAGGTATAATCGTAATTTATTACGGTAAAAAAAAACCATTTTCCTTATCTATCTTTAGGGCAAATAAGTAGCCTCATAGTGTAGCGTCCAAGAAGCCATACCTGATTATTATGTCAAACATACAGCGACAAACATAGTGCTGTCATAGGAATCAAAGATATTAACAGTACATATTTCAATATTTTTGGTAGTATTTAAGAAAAATACATTATGAACAAAATTGGACCCAGGTAAAATCCTTGCGATATAATATTGTGTGACTTTTAAAGAAAGCCATTTATTTTTTAATTATATGTAAGACACATAGAAATTAAATAAGAACTAATAAAATTATTTCTACTAATAATTTAAAATACGTCTACCCGCAGCCTAAATAAAAGATAAATAAACTTTCTTTAGACCAAGATAACTTATCGATGATTTAAATATTACAAGTCTAACAATCATAAAAATGTATTACGCTTTATCTATGTACTGTTTTATTTTATTTATAAGAGTGTCTAGAAAGGAAAATATTAACTATTCAAAATTCAACTTTGTCTGAGTCTTTTTATATTTTGTAGAGAAGTAAAAAAATGTTTTTGCCTAAATTAAATAAGTAAATAAGATTAAATACTGTCTGTTGTTACCTAAATATATCTTTTGAGAACAGCTTGACTAATGTTAGGATTATGTTAAACATTAATGATAATAAGCAATAATATAGTTACTTAAAATAACTAAGGGACCATTTTACATTGATGAGAAATAAATTAAAAGATGTTTCTATAACATGATAGTTTTATTTTATCATAATCATCACAGCCTATACACATAGAGCATCATTGTAGATATTTTACAGTTCATATACAATATTATCATTATATTCAATGTCCTTTCTCACATTGTTAAAACACTAGTATCAATTCATTGGCCTCAAACAATATCTTAATGTGGCCTACACAAACATTATTGCCTAGGTACTTACTATAATGGGTATACGAATACTTTCAGTTATTATTCTAATAGCCTCCTAAACTCAACATTTTATTTTAGTTGTCGTATTGTTTACGCTTCTCCTTCTTCTAAGGTGTCTGGCAGTTTCTTCCCACGCGTGTCTGGTAAGATGATGCATAGTCCAGCACCGACTAATGGAACAACACCGAAAATTAACGGTGGCAGCCAAGCACTTGTATGAGATAAAGTGGCAACAAATGGAGCAATCATTGATCCAATTCTGGCTACAGTGGAAGACAATCCTACGCCTGAATTCCTGACTACCGTCGGGAATAATTCTCCGGCATACAAGTAGACGGTAGCAAAAGATATACTCATGCCCCACAGGCCAATACATCCGAGGGTAAGGTGACTCGCTCCTGAATGGGGCACTATGATAATGAGGAGGCAACTAAGGCCAGTCACACAGTTTGAACTTATTAAAGTAATTTTCCTTCCAAGAATCTTGTTCGCGTATATGGACACCAAAGTGCCGGGAACCTGTAAAAGAATGTAAATTAATTTAGACATTTTGTTATAATTTAACAGGAAGTTATTTGGGTTATAAATGGTCGAGATAAGAAAGGTCGCTTCTGAGTAGCTAGACAGTTACGATAGCGAATTTGTACGTTAGATAAAAAACATTAATTCAATTAAAACTACACTGAAATTCTCTGTTTTTAACGTATATTTCTATAATTAATACTCATACTCAAATCTTCTATAAATTAATTTGTTTAAATCTTCTATATAATTGCTATATAATATTTTGTAAGGGAGATGATGTCTGATGATATGAATGACTCATTAATTTACTTCAGTGTTCGATAATAAATATGTATGACATTATCTTGGTAGAATTTTATAATAGCCGAGTTGAGAGATAGACGTCTCGTTTTGATAGTTAAATAATCATGTGTAAAGAATGATAAAGTATTTTTTGCTTTAAATCAGTCTGCCCGAATATTAGTTAATTGTATTTGAGTTCCTATTTTCAGATTTTCTTGAATTTTTAAATATTTCTTTATTATTAAATCTTGGGATTTAAAAACTTGAGTTGGTAAAAGTAGGCATTTAAAAAAAAGAGATGATTTTTTACCATCAGAGTTTGGACCAATGACGGTTGGTCATTAAATGAATGAGTAATTATTAAATATAAATTTCAATTACCTATCACTCACAGCCATACGACATATACGATAACATCTTGTATTTTTATCATCATAATTAAAATTGTTTTAATTGTCATTTTAAAAACTATAATGTCCCCACCTGTATAGAAGCAGATATTGCGACGTTGGTGAAGATATTCCCGGATACGTGACCGATGTATTGTGAGACTCCGAAGAAACAAAGGCCGCACACAAACCAGTTGAAGCATATTGCAAGAGTGCGCGCGCGCAGTCTTGGCGTGCGGAAAAGGGCAAGGAATGATGCGTGCTCTTCATTCTTATTTGATACTTCCACTGCCAGTTTTTGCGTGGTAGATTGTATGCTGTCTGTAGGTAGATTATTTCTAAAAAGGGTTATATCAAAATTTGTTGTTAATATTATATAATTTAAATAGTTTGTTAAGAAAAAAATATTTTAAATATTATTCTCTGTTTACCTTTTAGCAGCTACCTTCATGATTTTTGCAGCTTCTTCAGTTTTGCCAGCTGTCAGTAGCCATCTTGGCGATTCAGGTAGTAAAAAGTAATAACTGAGGAACAGTACAGATGGTAGTGATATGGCTAACTGGAACATGTTCCAATCACGGAGATAGTATCCAAATAGGGGTAGCGTCAAATGCCCAAGGTTGAATGGTATTTGATAGATTATGCCAACGGTGTCTCTATATTTGGCGCCGATCAATTCCATCGTCAAAACGAAGCTAGTAACCATTGTGCCTCCAGTAGCGACGGCGAGAAGGAATCGTAGTGTAGTGAACATGTACCAGTTCACGGAGTATGCCGTCGTTACACCCGATATTAGTTGCAAGAATACAGCTCCTAAGAAGGGAATCCTGCGGCCATATCTGGAATTATATATAAATATTTGCTTCAATTTCAAATACATATCATTTTCATTAAGGAAGCTGAACGCTTTGATTTAAAGAATCATTGAAAATGTAATATAGTTTAATCTGCTTAGTATCGAAAATGAATTAAAACGCATTTGATAATTGCGTGACTACTATACATAAAAATAAAATGCGTATATAATGATAAAAAAATGGTCATCGCGAAGCCTAATTGGGTTATCTATAATATTTCGCTGATGGGAATCACGGTTGTTTATAAAATACCTACAAACAAGATCAGTAAATTATTAAATTCATAAGCGCAACAGTCTTAAATAAAGAACTAGGTTCACAAAAATAGAACGATGTCCTCCTATTATGATCCATTTTGTTAAAGTAATCTCATCCGGAACCCCAACGTAAATTCGTTTAGCTCACAGGATGTGCCAATTTATTCGAGATGTTAACAAAACTAATATAACAAGCATAAATCGCCTCGTAAGTGTTCGAATCACATTACTGACCTGTCGGAAAGATGACCGAACACCATGTTTCCAACCAAAATGCCAAGCATAAAAATGGTCTGCGTAAGATTTTTTAGCCATTCTCTATCACAAACGAGATTCCACTGTGATATAATTGTTTCATGAAAAACACTGTGGTCGTATTTGTAAGATGTGCAATTATCAAAGCAGCTATTCTCGAATTCACCAGCGGAACGGTTATCTGCGCACGTGAAATTCATTGGAGGAGCCAGGAAAATGATGCTCATCTGATGCCAGGCTACTGGAAATTTCACCAGAAAGACCACAAAACAAATCCATATTTGCCATTTTCCAATGGATCCTATCGTCTTGCTTAGCAGATCTTCGCTCTGTTTTGGATTTTCTGCATCTTTTGCTTCGTTTTCCAACACTGAAACAATTTTATTCTCAAATTCATTATTTAAGAAAAGTATGATTACTAATTACTTGTTGAACATGTGTATAAATAATACAATATTTATAAGAATGATTTGTATTTTCTCAATTGATGATAATTTGCAATACGTGCTATGATTCCAAAGTATTAGAGATCGAACTGAAATATTTTTTACCAATTCGGTCATAATAATACCCAATCAAATACGGTTGGATTGGTAACAACAATTAATTATTGTGCGTCAGAAGCAACGCTATGGGAACGGCTAATCCGCCTAATGTACGACGCAATTTTGCACAAGCGATCTTTTCATCATTGTTAAATAATACCTATCCTGTTATGTAGCCCGTCACGCGGCATTAAATTGGTTTGGGGCGATCGTGATAACCTGAGATTCAACTATCATCGTTCGAACTATTGTTGATCTTCTAATTTGCGCAAATTCTTCCAGTTGTAGGGGTAATTTTCCGGAATATCGATCCGATCATGGATATTCTTTCATCTATAGGAAGCTATATCACAAGCGGATGATACAGACTATAATTGACGTGGGAGAAGTTGCGGAAAAATATATATTGCATATCATGGTCATGTACATATATTTTTTTTATCTTAAGAGCGATATAGGGATCGAATGACGAGTGTGATATGTAAGATCAACCACCGTGATCTGTTGACTCTGTGAGTAATGATTGTTTTGATTGTCTGGGAAGGTCGAGTACCTATACAATTACATATTAGTGGGTGCATGTTAATTAACGTAATAAAATGAATATTCTGCTAAGTTGAGATCAATTCATCATGTCCTGTTCCATAACATCAATAAGGTAATTAAAGGAACGTGGAAATCTAGAATTGTAGGGTACAATAAAATTGATATAATAGACTATTTATTAGAGACACTTAAGAAATAACTTTTTCTCACTATTCTTAAAATTACAAGGCTAAACTCTTGCAGTGTTATTAATAAGCAAGGTTTAGCGTCAGAATAAAATTACGCTATAATTGCAATTTCGGTATTAGTCCAAATTCATATTATACAGAGAATAAGCAAACCTACTACTTTCTAGGAATAAATATCAATCCCGTAGAACCTCGTAATAAGTTAACCTTTGCTAAGTGCAGTCTCAGAGTAAATTTACTTCTACGCTAAACCTTGTTTTCTAATAACACTGCTAAAATTTCAGTATTATTTCGCAGTATTCATATAAGCGTGCTATAATAAGTTTCCAGTTTTAAACGCTATCTATATCAAAACTTAAATAATAGATATTATAGATTGCTTTAATTTTCTTATATTCGTTGCAGTTTCTATATCATTGTTTTCCTCATTCATAATTAAATGATGCAACGTCCACTTGATGTTTCATTATTAATAAAGTTATACATAAGTAAATATCATTATCAAATTAGGGAATTGTGTCTGTTATGAGAATTATTTTGGCATCAATTTTGATACTATATGATATCCAATGCAAATATTTCATAAGTTTAAGTAATGATTTTACAGAAAAATACTTGAAAAAAGTTATTGTATAGTAGTGTATATCTAAAGCAGTACATCCTATAGCATCTTTCATCTTTACCTACTCCCGACTATCTTAAGTTTGTTTTTTCAACGTTCTCTTCGTCACTTCTAATGCAATGGTCGAAGAGTGTGTGAGAAAATTCAGTATCTACGTAAGCTTTCGACTGCTGGTGTTCCTTAGGGCGGTGTGCTATCTCCGTTATTATTTTCTATTTTTAGTAATTCTATATTACCCAACAACTTTCTTCTTCCTATCACGTATGCAGATATTCTTCATGCTCTCGCTTCGTTACTCTATATTGTTAAATTCCCTGACACCCTTATATCTCAAATCACGCTTTAAATTTCTCCATCTACATTTCTCTCATCGACGCATAATCTCTCTCTAGTCATAGTGTAACGTATGATCTATTGTTGTGGGGTTCTGCAGCTAGCACTCAAGATATTTTTATTCTACAAAAGAGAGCTGTCCTCGCTATATATAATTTATGGTCTAGAGAATCTTTCAGAGAAATATTTAAAGAAATAAATATTTCGACTGTTGTCTCTCTGAATACATTTATAAAAATATCATGTGCGCAAGAAAACATTACGATTCCTTCACCAAAAAAGTTGTGTTCATAATCTTAAACTTGCCGTTCCGAGCTTCAGAATTCAGCAAACCATAGGATCATTTCTAGATAAATGCATTGCTATGTTCAATAAAGTTCCACAAAATGTAATTGGCCTACCCATAAATTAATTTAAAATTTATGTAAAGAACTTCTTGAGTAAAGGCTATTATAAAGTTGATGATTATTTTAAGGATCGCAATGCATGGAATTAATAGCCTTCGCTATGTTCTATGACCTAGAGATTTTGAAAGTTGAGTTTTTTACTGTGATAATACATATTATTTTGGTAATGACGTGATTTGTGTAAATATCATTAGGTACTTATGATAAAGAGCTGGTAAGTTTCTTTCGCTTGTTCTTCTTGTCAGCTAAAAGACGCCCTGAACAAGTGGTAGGGGAAAAAAATTTTTTTGGACGATTCTAAAGTGCTTGTCTACTTGAATAAAGATATTTTAATTTCATTTTATTTCTTTGTTCTTCTAATAACTATCGATTGTTCACTCCTCCCAATCTCACTAAATTCTAAAGTCAATCCTTTACAGTACAAGCAATAAAATTGTGGAACTCTCTACCTGAATCAATCAGATGGACAAAATCAATAAACTCTTTCAAATCTTAATCAAACGTCTAGCCTGCTTTTCTATTTTCTTTTCTCACTTGGTTGTTTTCTGGTTGTCACTTGTGTATTGAGCGTTTTGTTTGTCTTTATCTATTTTTTTGTGATACTTCGCTGCTGCAATTATTATTCCGTTTTGTTTTGTATGATTTGAATTGTTATTTGTTTTATGCACAATCTGGCATCTATTGTTTGTTTTTTCATCCAATGCAAGGTTGCCTGGAAGAAAACGCTGGCTAGCGATAAGGCCGCCTTTTGTAAGTTTTTAGGTAAAGATTTATGTGTGTCTATGTAATTTTAATTTGGTTTTTGATTATTATTATTAGTATTTATTATTATTTCACGTCTAATGGTACACAAGTACTGTCTTCGATGCTATATTTTTAATATAAAAACACTGCTGGCCGTTTTCTTTACTAGTGAGGGTTTTAATGTAGTAAATCTACGTACTTTATTTTATTTTAGTTTTTTAAGACATTAATATTAACATAAACATTGCGAATTATAATATAAATAACATTAAAAAACTTTATACATTTGTTACATATTATATAAAAATAAACGAGCTGTATTGGCGAATTTTAAAAATTTACTCGATGAAAATTGTTTCTTTAAAGCTAAATAAGTCACAAACGGTTTAATACTTTACCACTTTGTTGGCATAATTAACGTGTATGTTCATGCTAAATTACAACTTTCTAGTACCAAGAGTTTTTGAGCTAAAACGCGGACGGAACCGACGGACATGGCGAAACTACTTATAAGGGTTCCGGTTTTACAAATTAAAATAATAAAAGGCGTCCATTGGTGTATTTATAGAAAGAATTAGATGTCAACAAATTATAAACAAATAGTAGTGTCACTTTCTACAGCAAGTCGTCCAGTGTTTCTTTAAAACTAAACAAAACAAGATAATCAGGAGACTTGAGAAGTATAACGACTTGAGAAGTATAACGACTTGAGACGACCGCTTGTTAAGGTCATGCTTTGAAATCGGCAACTAATTCAAATTTAAACAATTTATTTGCATAATACTGGGTATTACATATCTAAAATATTGTTTTCCAGAATATGCTAATTGTAATATAGCGTGCAAAAATTTATATTATGTGTAGTTACAATTTCAATACCTATATCACATTGAGAATATCAATGTAAATTATATAATAATAATAAAAGAATTTATCACATGCTACATGTCATATTTTGAAAGTAAAATCAATTATATATTTATTGAAATTTATTCGTAAAAATTATAATGAAATAATGAATATAATAATATATTAATGTATAGGTCACAGTTTAAATAATAAATAATATGTTATTTGTGCGTAACGGTACATTAAGTAATAAATCAACTTTGGGATTTCCGTAAAAGCGTTCCATAAAAGTTTCGTGCAAACTTATTTGACACCATAAAGGGTCTCGA